ACACTGGATGGAAATAAATCTTGTGACATTGCAGAAGCTTATCGAAACAATGCCACAGCGAATGCGTGCCGTAATCAAAGCTAAAGGCGGTCCAACGAAATATTAGAGTGTATGACCTTTTTTTTTGGTGGTGACTTTTTTTTTGGCCAGGCAGTGTATATACTGTGTTTGTAAATGTGTGTATATATATACGTAGATTTGGTTGATGCAAAAAAGGGAGGCAATTTCCAGAAAATACAAAGTACAATAAAAGTAAAATAAAGATAAAATACAATCACTGCAGCAGATAAGCAAAGTAGGCAACTAATTGCACTGAGGTACAGCAAATCACACAATTGGAGTAATACAAAATAAAAGACTACAATAACCGGTGGCAACACAAGTATGTATTTTTAGCATCTCAGCCAATAAACTAAATTGTGTCCAACTTTAAGTGGGGTGGATGGTCCTTTTTTCATTTCTATTATTTTATAGATGTAGCCCTAGTTAAACCCTAAACCCATACAGATTTACACAAATGCCTGCATTTAATCCTACTTGCATACAACTTAAAAAGTACTTATATTGTGATGCCATGTAAATGAACAGACGATATTAGGTCAGATTTTTTTTCTAAAATAAGAAATCAAATAAAAAACAAAAGGATGCAAAAGTGCGAATACAAGGTGCCGTGAGATTTACAAAAAAAAAGAAGAGTCAGTGAAGGGTTAGGGCTTCTGGACAAGAGTCTGGACAAGCCTGTCCAGGACAGCCGGAAAGCCAGTCTGGGACTCCCTCTGTGTGTGTGTGTGTGTGTGTGTATATGCTCTATATGTCCCAACCTTTTCATGCATGCAGCACCCTAATCAACCCCAAAAATGTTTATGAACCAGCTGGATTTTGCTGGGTGTGCAAGCCTGAATAAATGGTGTGTTCATCAAATTTTACACGTACAGCACAGTGACATATATATTTTATTTTAAATTTTTTTTTTTACATTTTAAATGTTTTAAATATTCTAATTTTAATATTTTTTACATTTTAAATGTTTTAAATATTTTAATTTTAATACTTTTCATATTTTAAATGTTTTAAATATTCTAATTTTAATATTTTTACATTTTACATGTTTTAGATATTTTGATTTGAATATTTTTCATTTTTTAAATGTTTTAGATATTTTAAATTTAATATTTTTTACATTTTAAATGTTTTAAATATTTTAATTTTAATACTTTTCATATTTTAAATGTTTTAAATATTCTAAATTTAATTTTTTACATTTTAAATGTTTTAGATATTCTAAATTTAATATTTTTCACATTTTAAATGTTTTAGATATTTTAATTTTAATATTTTTCACATTTTAAATGTTTTAGATATTCTAATTTTAATATTTTTACATTTTACATGTTTTAGATATTTTGATTTGAATAGTTTTCATGTTTTAAATGTTTTAGATATTTTAATTTTAATATTTTTCACATTTTAAATGTTTTAAATATTCTAATTTTAATATTTTTTACATTTTAAATGTTTTAGATTTGGCAAGAAATTCACAAACTGGCTCAGTCCCCCTTTAATTTAAACATCTTGTCTCCTACATACAAACATCCACCTCTCCTCCTCACCCTGCTCCGACATCTGGTAAATGGCGCCATCTAGTGTTGTAGACTCTGTAAGATCTGGTTGATCCGGTCTTCGTCAGCCAACCAGGAAAGAGGGCTTGCCGTGATCTGGACTGAGGCGGATGAGACCAGAAACCTTTGTTCTGTCTCTCCTCCGTAAACGAGATTTAAAAACAAGAGCCTGTCAATGCTTCCTGCAGAATCACGCGTGTGTGCGGTGGGGCGATCGCTGCTGGATGTTTTATTCATCACAAATTAGCAGAATTTATTGAACAGGAGCTTTCTAATATTTTTCCGGATCGCTACAACCCGAGGGGCACATCTGCTCGTTTTTTTCCTGTCAGCTGCTAAATGGAAATAAAACGGGGAGCTGAAAGTGGAGGCAGTCGAGGTGTGTAAAGAAATATCATGTATTATAATGATCATCACTGGTGTGTGTGTGTGTGTGTGTTGTCAGCAGTGAGTTTACAGTGACCTTAACTGATTATAATATTCCTGCAGTGTGTTTATATGCACTTACTCGATCCACAATGAGCTTGTTGCTGTAGCATCGCGAGTGCTGCTTCATTCCCATCACTCCACTCATTGATCTGCAGGAATACTTTGCTTTTAGTATTGATCGGGACATAATTATTATTCCTGTATCGATAGGCTGCATTCAACAAGATGTGAGTTTGTTGTGAGTTTGATGGATGCTGTTGGCAGTGCACCTGAGAGCATGATTTCTGCAGGCACTTTGCCACTATAAATCTACTTCACTTATGCATAGTGTGCTGCTGGCCAGCATGAGAAGTGTCAGGTGGATGTTGTTGACTCTGATTGCTTGTTCAAGTGCTGATGAATTATGTGTACTGTAGTGAGTAGACAGCCACTGTTGTATAGGGCTCTTTGGAGTGGGCTTGGGTCATTTGTCCTTGTCTAAACCAGTGGTTCTCAACAAAGGGGTCTGAGGACACCCAGGGGTCGTCAAGGAAGTTAAGTGGTTCCCAAAAAATGATTTATTGTTATTTGTTGTTTATTTTCACTATTTAATTCACTATAGACGTAAGCCAAATGTGAGCAAGAGTCATAAGAGTGACTATTCTGACCATGGGTTTCACTTCCTCTACGTGTAGCTCCTTATCTGTTGTTGACAGTTAAAAATCTTTGGTCTTAATCGTATCTAACAACCCAAAATTTTCTCCAATGGGAGTCCATGACCTAATGTTTTATGAATTAAGGCGTCCTTAACACGATAAAGACTGGTCTAAACAACAAAATAATGACAATAATTTGAGCTATGAACTGTACCACAACAATAAAAGACACATTTAATTGAAAGCAGGTTCATTTTTAACAGCTACTGCATAAGTAGTACAACCCAGCCACAATCGTGCCAGTTTATTTCGCCCGATTCTGAGGCGTCATTCATCTTGATTCACAGCCGAGTCCAGCAACTGGATGCAGCTTGACTTACTTTCTTCTGGTGCACCGAGTTTGGACCAGTGTTGGGCCAGGTCATGTTTTATCAGGGCCCAGCTATGGGTATGTCAGCAGCTAAAATTTGGCTGGTTTATTTAGGACAAATCTGGGGTGTCATTCATCCCAGGTTTCAGGCGAGTCAGGCAACTAGATTTAGCTTGACTTACTTTCTTCTGGCATGCTAAGTTTGGGCCGATGCTGGGCCAGGTCATTTTTGATTGTGGCCCAGTGATGGCCAGCAGCAATCATGCATGTTTATTTGGCCCAATTCTGGGGCGTCATTCTTTCCCAGTCTCAGCTGAGTCGTGCAACCCAATGCAGCCCGACTTATTCCTACCGGCGCCCAGCGTTTGGGCCAATGCCGGGCCAGGTTATATTCTTTTTTCACGGCGAAGTTATTGGTATGTCAGCAGCTGGAATCGGGCCCGTTTTTTTGGCTTAATTCTGGGGCATGAGTCATCCCAGGTCACAGTCGAGTCAGGCAACTGGATTCGGCTTTACTTATTTTCTTCTGGTGTGCTGAGTTTGGGCTGAAGCTGGGCCAGGTTGTTTTAGATAATGTCCTGGTGATGGCAGTGTCGACACCCGGAATTGGGCCAATGTATTTTTCCCAATTCTGTTGGGCCAATGTTGGGCCAAATGATGGCTGTGTATTTACCAGTTTATTTTGCCCAATTCTGGGGCGTCATTCAGCGCGATTCTCAGCCGTGTTGGGCAACCTGATGCGGCCCAACTTATTTCTTCCAGAGTGCTGAGATTGGGCCGATGCTGGGCCGGGTGATTTTTGATAATGGCCCAGTGGTGGCAGTGTCGACAGCTGGAATCGGGCCAGTTTATTTGGCCTGATCCTAGGCATCATTCATTCTGAGTCTCAGCTGAGTCCAGCAACCAGTGGTTGCCCCGCTTGCCGAGTATGGGCCGATGTTGGGCCAGGTAATTTTTTCACATTAAAATATTTCCCTTTCTCACAAACGCAGTTTGAATAAAATCCCAGATTACAGTATGTGTAATTTTATTTTTCGGTATTATCAAATTTGTGTTCCCTTATTAGCCGTTCCAGGGGATTTGATGTTATCACACAGTCTTTCTCAGCAGATGTGTTTAATATCATGTAAACAGTTTGAGAAATTGTTAATACATAAAGTAACCAGATGATTAGGGCTGCAGGATTGGCAAAATAAATTAAATTGTGATTATTTTGAGAGACATAGCGGTTGCAATATGAGTTGTGAATTTAGTTGAAGTGGTAATTTTTGCATTTCATCTTCACTTTAAATTTTTTTTTAAAGATTTTTGCTCAGGTCTGTACCAAACAAGCATGTCCTCTTACATCTGGAATATGATTTAAGGCCAGGGTATCTCTGTAAATTTTACAGTATCATATTGATAATGGTATGTTGTGATGCATTTCACCTTTCTCAAAAAATTGCAGCTCCTGTGATTTGGATATTGCACTTGGCCACATTGTGATATCGATAATATTTTTGATTAATATTGCAGCCCTGCAGATGATCTTTTTTTGTTTGTTTTTTTGCTTCTGTCTAAAAGGAGCACTTCATCACACTGATGCAAAAGTTATATTAAAATTGTAATTATTATATTGCCAGTTTCCTTAAAATAATGTGTAAATGGTATGGCCAGATCAATACACCATATGTCATATTGTCCAGCCCTGCCTAAAGAAGTCTGATAAGGAATATGATCTATAAAACTGTGGTGAAACCAATGGACACTTGTGCAGGTGTTTCATGTTACCTGGTTATTGGGTTACCTGTCTTGGGTTGTTTACTCCTGCTCTTGTTTTCTATCTGGTAATTTGAAATGCTTTGAAATGCTCAGTAATGTGCTCCATCAAACAGTCTTAATTGTCATTGTTACATTTAATTAAACGTTGATACGCCTTTCACATTTTCTCCTCTTCTTCCACTTCAGGTAATGATCTTCCAGTCCACTATCTACGCCTCCTGGCCCCGCCCTTGCAGCTCTTATCAGCCGCAGTGTGGCAAGTAGTGCAGCAGGGACTTGTGGACCACTATGGGATGCTGGAGGAGTTTGTTACCATGGTGACGGAACTGGTCCCAGAGCTGATGAGCTACAGTCAGAGGGCTCAGCTCATCTTGGGACTCAGGGCCAGGGTCAGTAATAATCACTGCTTAATCACACAGAGGTGATGCCTGGGATAATTTTAGATGTTTGTGTCTTGTTAACAAAAACAAGTTAAAGAGGCAAATATGTCAACAGTCTTTAAGGTCCAGTGTGCAGGATTTAAGGGGATATATTGGCAGAAATGGAATATAATAAGTTTTCTTTAGTGTAAAATCACCTGAAAATAAGAATCATTGTGATTATGTTTGCTTAGAATGAGCCATTTATATCTACAAAGTGAGCAGGTCCTTGTCTATGTAGATCACCATGTTGCACTGCCATGTTTCTACAGTAGCCCAGAACAGACAAACTAAACACTGGCTCTCAATAGGGCCATTTACATTTTCAGGTAGGCCACCATAGTTAGCAAACCTTCTGCAACAAGAGCATCATAAAACACTGAGGTGAGCACAGATTAGCAGGTGCGTTTCCAACATGCAGTCAAAGTCATGCTCTTTGTGTTTCTTGCACTGCAAGAACTGTAGGTGTGCAGGCTCAGGGTTCTTTATGTTCTTGTATATAGTGTTACTAATATTTCCTAAAGCAACACAATCTCATTCTGCCTTGCAGAGACAGAGGTGTATGGTAAAGTAACAATAAACTGGATTTGATTTTTCTCAAGTGAATGCATTACTCTTCTGTAGCGAAGAGAGCAAAGATAAAACAAAGTTGTTCCGTAGCTGTAGTGCAGTGTTAACAGGTGGTATATGAACCAGGACTGTTTTTTTGTGTGTGTGTGTGTGTGTGTGTGTACATTCAGCTGGTTCTGGAGATGTGTCGAGCGGAGCACCCAGTGGACATGCAGACCATCCAGCCACATCTGGACAGAATTAAAGCTCCAGTCAGCACTGCCAAGGATCACCATGTAAGTTAACTGTCGCTGGCAAACACACAGATGTTTTTTATTCCCTGGTGTGTCAGTTTACTGGGTCAGCTGTGATTGATTGAGTCTTATGAGTGTTGCTTTATTCAGACCCTCTAAAAGCTGAGCTTAATGTCAAAGATACACTGTTGTTCTTTTGTTACACTTTCTTTATTAGATTTTCATGCAACAAACAGTACATAAATAAAGCTGCAGCTAGTAATCCCTAGTGTCCAATATCATCCCATGTACACTCAAAATGAAGCAATGTATGCAAGGTTTCCATCCTGCTCCTAGCAGAAGGAATCATCTCCAGATTCACTCCACTGACCCAGTATGTGTTCCAAGTCCGTATGTTGAAGACAACTGATAACAGGACACCATATTTTTTTAGTAGTTCTTTTTTACCCATATTAGAATTGGCCATTTTCTCTAACGATATACATGCAAACATTTCTTTTAACCATTAACCAATACTTGATCTGTTTATATTTTTGCATTTTGCCTGTAATAGACAAAGATCTACGAAGATTTGCTCTGTCTTCCATATCGTTTTGGATAACAACCTAAATTTCAAAGCTTGGGTTCCACAGTTATTTGTATTGATAAGTAAATATTATATTCTACCTCTTCCTGGAACTTTTTTTTAAATCTTATTACATTGCCAAACACAATGGAAACATGTTCCTTTGGATTGCCCACATTTGAAACACAAATCTGGGATATTACTATTAAATTTATTTGGCATTTCTGGAGTAACATATGTGGGCATCAGCCAGTTATATCATAAAAGCTTAAAAGGATAGTTCACCCAAAAATGAAAATTCAGCCATTATCTACTCACCCTCATGCCAAGGGAGGCTCTGGTGAAGTTTTAGAGTCCTTACAACACTTACGGAGATCCGAGGGGGGAGTGGGCAGCAGCTCAACTGCACACCTAATGGCTGACGGCGCACCAGATTCAAACATCCAAGAACACATAATTGAAACCACAAAATATCTCCATACTGCTCGTCTGTAGTGATCCAAGTGTCCTGAAGCCCCGACATAAAAAGTTGTTTGGAAAAACATCATTTGAACTCTGTTTTTAGCCTCATTGTAGCCTGTAGCTCTAACTGCCCCTGTGTACACTGCACTGACGTGTGAGACCAGCGAAGGCACGTGAACACACATGAAGGCGGTGCCCATATCTCACGGTCTCGCGCAAGAGCACACACGTCAGCGCGGTGTACACAGGGGCAGTTAGAGCTACAGGCTACAATGAGGCTAAAAACAGAGTTCAAATGATGTTTTTCCAAACAACTTTTTATGTCGGGGCTTCAGGACACTTGGATCACTACGGACGAGCAGTATGGAGATATTTTGTGATTTCAATTATGTGTTCTTGGACGTTTTAATCTGAGGCGCCGTCAGCCATTAGGTGTGCAGTTGTGCTGCTACCCACTCCCCCCTCGGATCTCTGCAAGTCTTGTGAGGACTCTAAAACTTCACCAGAGCCTTCCTCGGCATGAGGGTGAGTAGATAATGGCTGAATTTTCATTTTTGGGTGCACTATCCCGTTAAGACAGGTACTTGCTGTTTGTGTCTGAGCCTCCTTGCCACAGTTGTGTTCTTGAATTTGTGATGTAAAAGTCAAATTGTGTTTGTTTCCTGTGTTTTGAGCGTGTTGTGTTAATGTTTTGTGTTTGTGTGTGTATAACAGTTAACCATAAACCAGGTGGAGGAATCTGAGGTGAATTTTGTGGAGTTGGTGCATTCATTACTGGAGGATCCCTCCGAAAGAAAATATTTTTTCGAGGTGAGACAACACTCACTCCTTATTGTTGTTTCATTTTCCTTTCAGCTGAGCAGCAAATTTTCTTATTTGATACTGAAATGAAAATATACAGTTCAATTCAATTTTATTGTCAATAATAATAATAATAATAATAATAATAGTACATTTTATTTGTATTGCACTTTACATTTTAGCAATCTCAAAGTGCTACAGAGCAGGATAAAAAAAATAATAATAAATAAATAAAAAATAAAAAATTAAAACATAAGAATTAATACAATTTAAGAAATATTAAAATGATTAGAGACAATAAATAGTTAAAAGGGAGAAATATATAAAATATAAAAGACATTTAGCAGAATGCTTTTGTAAAAAGATAGGTTTTTAGGTCTTGTTTGAAAACATCAGTAGTCTGTGGGGCCCTGAGGAGGTCAGGGAGGGCGTTCCACAGCCTCGGAGCAGCAGAGGAAAAGGCCCGGTCACCCATGGTGTGGAGCTTGGTTCTGGGAGCTTGGAGGGTGTTTGTGGTTGCAGAACGGAGGGTGCGTGAGGAGGTCTGGGGGGTGAGGAGTTCCTTGAGGTAAAGGGGGGCATGTCCGTGGTCCTGGTGGGTGAGGAGGGAGACCTTGTACTCAATTCTGAGTGGGACAGGGAGCCAGTGAAGCGATTTCAGGATGGGGGTGATGTGATCATGTTTGCGCACCCTCATCAGGATCCTGGCAGCGCTGTTCTGGACGTATTGCAGTCTCTGTATGCTCTTGCCAGAGATCCCGATGAGGAGTGCATTACAGTAGTCCAGCCTGGAGGAGACAAAGGCGTGGACGAGCCATTCTCTATACACAGCAGCATACAGTGAATAAAACGGTACTCACGAATCCAGGTGCAGTAAAGAACATAGAGCAAACAAGACATTTAACATGGACGTGACAACATTAATTTAACTGCAATTAAGTGCATTGCATTGTGGGTCCTCAATACAAACTTTCCTGTAAACATTAAACTAACTAAACATTCTGAATACTACAAAAAAAAACAAAAAACTTTTACACAGACAGGAAAACCAGTCAGGTTGACTTTACAACATCATAGACTGTATGATATACTGATGTAGAAACTCTTGGTCAGTCCTCATTTTGATGTATAATAGAATAAACTCAATGGGCTTCAGTTGATCTTAATTGAACATATCTTTATTACAACACAAATCTGATCAGAGAAGCTTTTGGCAGACTTAAAGTAACAGAACAATGACTCAGAGTCAAGACAATGTTTTGTAACCCTTGATCCAGTTTGTTTAACACTGGAGACTAAACATCTACAAGGTCTTCATCTTACAGTATCTTAACCTTCAGACACCCTGGAGCCTCCTCACATGCCTGCATGCAAACGGTGAAGGACTCTGAGGCCTCCAAAAATATCTAAACCATTATAAGAACAGTACAGAACATTTCACTATTCATTCAAATGGTTTCCTCCACTCTGATTATCTCTCCAGGTAAGGCCATTTCCCAACAACAACCCAGCCTAAATGTGTCTTGTCATTTGCAGGAAATCTTCCCTGTATATTTTGGGCCAAAGTACGATGCTGCGTTGGAGATGCTGGTGTGGGAGTTCATATCAAGACTGGAGGAGATGCTGCCAGTTCCAGACTTCACACAGGTGCCGTGTTTCTTTTGAACTCCAGCACGGCATGCATCAGCCAGCTACACAATTATAATTTACGGTGTAATAATTTGTGTTACACTTTTCTGAAAGGAATACTTCACTTCACCCAAATGATCATTTGTGTATCAATAACTCACTAAAACCTCACTTTTTTAAAACTGAACTGAAAGTGAGAGTTCTCTACGCTCTCTTCAAAGCCAGACTCCATTGACAAAAACAGTAATTGTACGTCGTTGAAGGCAGGGGCACAGGGTGTGTTTTGAGGGATATCTTGAAAGTGGAGAGTGAGGGGGGAGTCTCTGATGTATTTAGGGAGTGAGCTCCAGAGGGTAGGAGCAGCAATGGAGAAAGCCCTGTCCCCCCAGGTACGGGGGTTAGACTGCAGGAGGGAGTGTGCAGGTAGAGGAGCTCAGATGGGTCTGGGGGGGAGCAGGTTGTGTTGGGCTTTGTAGGTGATAATGAGGAGCTGGGGGGAATTGGGAGCCAGTGGAGGTTATGAAGGATGTGGATGATGTGATCACAGGTGCGAGAGAGTGTGAGACGACGAGCAGTTGAATTCTGGATATCTCGTAGTTTTCTTGAGAGTTTTGGATGATGAAAATGAATAAGAGTCGCTGCAGCTAAAAAGGAGAGGGATAGAAAGAGACAGGCGATGTTTCTGAGATGGAAGAGGTTGTTTTGGTGATGTGTTTGACGTGTACGGTAAAACGGTAGAAACCTCAAGAAGAGCAACTGAGGAGGGATCCCTCTGCCAGGACAGACAGACAGAGGCTGAAGCGGCATGAAATATGCTGTGTATATTTACACTCATGAGAGACAGAAACCTACTGATCTGATAACCCTTTGCCCTTCCCTCTGGTGCTACTAACAAGGTCTTTCACAGCCAAACTGCTGCTGACATTCACGCTTTAGTAACAGGTCATACTTTGGCTCCGGTTATATCTCTATTGTGTTACCTGCCCCCTGCAGCGTTGATGTGCAGCTACCTGGGGAAGTAACCGTGCCCTGTGGGAAGTCTGCACTACTTGTTTTGCCTCCGCCTTTTATTCCACCATCAGAATAAACAAAATGCAACACAGAGGAGTGATTCATCGGGAAATAGCTCTGGCTTTATTGCAAATTGAGCTGCTTTTCTCAGGCTGAATGTGGCACATGGTCTCACTGTAGGGGCTCATCTGTCTGCACCGCTGACCTGGAGACAGATATAGAGGAGGGTTAACTGGGTACAGGTGCAACACAGCGTCCCAGTGGACTGCTTCCTGCTCAGCCTTTTTGTGTACAGAGCAGAAAAGGGAGCCAGATTAGTAGCAGTTACACACTGTGAAATAAAAATAAGCTCATTAGGCCATCACAGTGTTTCTTATTCTTCTTAATACAAGTTAACAGTGACAAAAAGCTGTCAAGGAAAACGTCAAATCAATTTATTTTTTTATCTAAACTCACTATGAGTCATTTGGCTGTAAAAAAAAAACATGAAAGAATGCAGGATTACTAAAGTGAGTAACTTGATCTCTCCTCTCAGTTGGCAGCTTTGCTCGGAGACGCTCCATCATTCCTCGACGACTGTTTACAATCCTTTTTCCCGCCAGAGGACATGAAGGCTGTGCTTGAACACCACAGGAACCTCGGCCATTTTGAAGAGAAAGGTGCTGTAGCTTCACGGTTGTGTACTGTAATTGTAAACTGTAACATTAGCAACAACAGTAGCTTGACAAAATAAATGGTCAGCGCTGTTGTCTGCAAAATTAATAAGGAGATACCCAGTCCTCATTGGATAAATGCTCAGTATTTAGCCTCTTACTGTTGTTTGGTATCTTTCTGAGATAACGAGCCCCTAAGCAAAGATTATTTACTGTAGGTAGTTTTATCACACATCAGAGAAAACTACCATAAAACCGTAAAACTTCAATTGAAAGTCGAGCCACAGTTAATCACTGAGTCCCATTTATTAGCCAGGTGTGGACACACATTTAGCAAAATAAACGCAGGTCTCCATTAAAACCTTTCCCATTGCATTAAAAAACCTGCTGACATCTGCTAACATCTGGCTTTTTATTGCAATGGGATAGGTTTTAGTCAGCATTCACCCCCAGGTGCACGCACTAAGTTTAACAACTATTTAATAAACAGTTTAAAGAAAAAGTCTTCACACGTCGGCTGTCTTTCTTGAGTTTTAATAAGCATTCATGAATGGAGGGAGTCACACACATACAGCCGCATGAACAGTCAGTCAGTCAGTGAGTGCCTAGATGTTCCATGCTATCTTTATAGTTCCCAAAACACATGCATGTCAATAGTCAAAATATATGGCACTCAGGTGGTTTCTGCAGTAAGCATCCCTAAGACACAACATCTCTTGAAGCTCACAAGGACACTTGATGTGGGAGCCTCCCTGGCTCGTAACCTTTAACCTGCTTCCATCAGGCCTCTGCTGTGTCTCACACTGCTGTCACAGACGGGGTTAAATCAGCAGCACATATCATTAGGTGAGAAGTTCAGTTTCATCAAAACAAGTAACCTTATACAACATATGCAGACCACACTGTAGGTTAAATATGGTCAAATACCAGAATTTTCCATCACACCGTGTTGTTGGGTATTCTTGTTTTTGTGACCTTGCTGGCTACAAAATAAAAGTGTCCCCACCTTTTTCTGTTTAGCTTTCACTCCTTTCTCGTGACTCCTTTTCACTTGCTGCCATAAACTTTACATGGCTTTCATACTACCGCTAAGATAGGCTTCTGAAACAAGGCTCTTCCTCTGTCTGTCTCTGATGCGCCGTCTCTTAGAGCTAGATCAAATGAATGACTCGCAGTTGACATGTTATTCGATAGTCTAACATTTTGATTTTTCCCATCTTTACTTTGCATGAGTTTTGTGGAAAGGAATTAAAGGCTCATCCCATATGCCTGTGCCAAATATAGAGCGGTTGAGTTTAGTGATCCAAGCAAATAAAAGCCCTGTTAACTTAAGTTTTATGGTCATAAAACATAACATTCTAAGGTTTCAAAGAGCAGATGAAGATGCACTGAGAACAGCTCGTCATTGTTGTCTTTACATTTTGCTCAAATTGACAGTTTATTTTTGTCAGTTTGTGTCTGAACCCAAGCTGGGGTCTAATTAACCGTATTTTTCCCAACTGTAGATCCTGGATTATTACCCATGGATGACTGCATCCTCTCCTCCCTGTCTCTGCCTCCTGGGACCAAACCTGTCACAAACACCACCTCATCCTCACCTGCTCTCGAAGACTCAAACCCTCCGGAGCACGAAGGACGTCTCGACACTCCCTTCAACACGAGCTGCCTGGAGAGGGCGATCAGGAGGAGCTCTGAGACTCTGAGACAAACGCTGAGGGAGACGAGAGACTCTGGCAGCTGGCAGCTGCAGGGGAGAGGCGTAAACATTTCTCAGGAGAGAAAAGCGCAAAACTCAGTCAGTGCACGACCATGTGATGAAACCATAGACCTCACCACGCCTAATGAGACTGCGGACAGGGATTCAGTAGCCAGTGACAACAGCCAAAGCTTGAGAGGAGCGCCGGTTCTCAGGAAGAGGAAGCTGAGCGGAGGTGTGGACATTCCCTTGAAACAACCTGTGGAGGCAACGGCTTTCTTGTAAGATCACCAGAAATGTTTTGGTCATTTATCAAACGAACTTGAGTTAGAACCAAGCAGGGCAGGTGTGAAAGCACCTTTAGACTTACTTTTATTTTGAGGCACAAATATCTTAAGTGGCACCAGTAAGACTTTCTGAGTTGTCTTAGTTCGTTTTATTTTTGGGGGCCAAAAATGTCTCCTTAGTAAAGTTAGCCAATCCCAGATCTAGACTGAAATATCGCAACAACCATTTGATGGATATCATCCATGAAATTCGCTTTAGATATCAAAGTTTTCACTTACTCTGTGAAATATTCCAACATATCCTTGATGGATTTGCACAAAATTTTGTTTATCTGATACAGAATTTAAATCCTAAGTATTATTAGTTAACGTGTGCATCCTCAATTTCTGGTGTACAAAATACCAGTAGATGAAAAATGTATTCATTTTGGGCTGCACATTTGCTGTCTGTGCTTTTTATATGTGGTTGCCAGTGATGGCAGCCATAGTTCAAGCTCAGAATGGTTGCCATTGGCAATCTTGAAACTGTAACTGTTGAGCCCTGCGTCTATTGTTCCCAGACAATGAAGTCTAATGACTTTAGTGATCCCCGACTTTTCATGAAGCACCATCATCAGGTTAAATGTTGAATTTGTCCATTACCCAATACCTGCAAAACCACTGACTTTCCCATCAACCTCAGCTGCAGTTGTTTAAGGCTGATTAACTATAAACTATTTGGATTAGATAAGAAAAAAAAGCGTGTTAACCAATCTGTCAATTTAATATTTTGTGTGTTTTTTCCACCTCTGCAGGGATTCATCAGTGGATGATGAGAATTCAGGAGAATCTCCACTTATCTCCATATGGGGAGAATATACAGGTTTGTACAGTTTATGTGTGGATCAGTGGATATTTCCGTACATCAGTTCAGTTCACTCATTTCATTAAGTTTTTTTTATTTCTGTGTCATGCTAAATATTTAGCCTATCCCACATACAAGACACTGTTATGCCATGTACATCTTCCAGTCTTGCATCTATAAAGCATGTGGGGAAAAAATGGTCTTACTAAACAAAGCAGTATACTGTTCACAATAAAAAAAGACAGTTGAAAACTGACAAGCTTTTGGTTTTTGACGAACTCCTGCCGTATCATCTCAGACTCTCAGGAAGGTTCTTTCCCAGTTGTGACGGACACAAAAGTCCCCTGGTCGGACGAGGAGACGCTCAATCTTCTCGACATCTGGGGGAAGGACTCGGTGCAGCGGGCGTTGAAGGGCTGCTTGAAAAACCGCCACATATTCACACAGATTGCTCAGAGGATGACGGAGAGAGGCTACATGAGAACGGTGGAGCAGTGCCAGACCAGGATCAAGCGGCTGAAGAAAAGCTTCCGCCAGAACAACAAGTGGGTGTTAAACCGAATTGTTGTCCATCTCTGCTTGTTCGTCTGTCCAGTGATTGAAATTTGTCAGATAACTGTATGTCCTACTTTGGACGCCGTAGCTATAATTTGTGAAATGATACAGAAAAATGCCCATTTCCTTCCTCTTTTATCTGACCCCAGAGGGAACTCCAAGCTGGAATATAAATTCTATGAGCAGCTGAAGCGGATACTCGGCTCCTCGGCTCCCTCGGCTGTTCCCGAGGTCACCTATGATGTCGAAGAGGTCATCGATGAAGACGAGTCCCAAGACGGAGATGACGACTTGCAGTTTCTTGGTCATACGAGCCGACTGGAAATTGGTACAATGTCATTTTTGAAATTTATTGTAGGGCTGCAACAGAAAATAATGAAGAATACCTGTTATAATTTCCTACAGCCCAATTTTATATCTTTATGATGGCTTATTTGATTCATCCAACAGTCCAAATCTAAAATATAATCACCTTGCTGTCATATATGGCAAAGAAAAGCATCAAATCCTCACAGTGAGGAAGCTGAAACTATCCCTTTAATTATAATATACAGTTATATTAAAATGGCAAATTCTAGTAAAATTATCACACTTGACAAACAACGTGATTTTATATTTTTATTCAAGGAACCAGAAGCGTTCCGTGGACAGACGTTGAGACATTGACCCTCATCAACACGTGGGGCGAAGACAAGATGCAGCAGGAGCTGAGAGGAATGCACCGAACAGGACACATCTTCTCCATCATTTCCAACAAGATGGCCGCCCAGGGCTTCTCCCGCACACCAGAGCAGTGCCAAACAAGGCTCAAAAGGCTGAAATCAAACTTCAGGCAGTGCTACCAAAACAAGTATGTTTGCTCACAGAAAGACAGAGTGAAAGGAAAAGTTTGTGATATTTGTTTAGTTACAGTATCTGTCTGTTCTTTTTTAATCTGTCAATATAGCTTGAAGGGACACGAGCAAGTTGAGTGCAAGTTTTACAATGAGCTGGGAAGAATTTTAGTGAAGGACTTCCAATCAGTGCCGCAGCTGGAGGAAATGCCAGGAGAGCCGGAGGAGACAAAATTTCCCTCCTACTCCCATCAGGATATCGGTAAACTCTAATGTTGTGTGCTGAAAGCGGGGGATGTGGGGAGGGAGCTCTGATAACAAGCGGAGGTGTTTTTGATCACACTACACTACGTCACCCTGACTCCTAATCATTATACACTCAGCAATATCCTGTAAAACAAGATATAGGAAATATATAGAAACCTTTAAATGTTTTTTGGTGCCTTAGATGCAGCTGAATTAGAATTGAATTCAAAGTAAAAAGCTTCAGATTGTACAGTATACCTGTACATTTAGATTTTACACTGCGTACAACAAGTTCTTTCTGTCAAATGCAGTTAAAATACTCTCCCTATATGGAGGACAAAAGCTGTCAAAATCGATAAATAATACATAATTGATTCAATGAATAAATTCATATGCCAATAAATGTACCCAAAAAAATATTGACATGAATTAATTGATAAATAGTGACATAAATGGTTATTTATGCTGTAATTAGCTTTTTTATTTATTTACCATTGTATTAATTCCCCTATCTATATACTTTCCTATTTATTTATTTATTTTTATTTGTTTTATTACATTTTATTAATTACATTTTTTGCATTGATTTTTTTTAAATGTATTTTTAATTTATTTCTTAAGTTTTAGATATATTTATTAATTAATTAATTCACTCTTATTAATTTTAATTTTGGCATTAATGTTTTATTTATTTAAAATTATTTTTAGATTTATTTATTCATTTATATATTATTTTACCTTTGCATTTTTCCCCTTAATTTCTCTCCCCTTTTGGCACATTTAATGGCATATTAATTGATTTATTGTGTCATTTATTTATTTATGTATCTTTTATTTTGGCAGCTTCTGTCCTTTATATTTATCTCTGTTTATCTCACTAAAGTTTACAACCAGCCTGCTCCATATTTCATAACTGCTGTACTGCCGACAGCATATCTTTTCAGATCAGTCCTGTTCTTGTTGTCTTTTTATTTAATTAAGTAATTATTTAGTTAATTTAAGTTGTGCGTCATGACGGCAAAAAGAAAAGTAGGAACAGTAGCAGTCTTCAACAAGTGTAGTTTTGTAAAACATTAAAAAAGAAACGTGTTTAAGATGATAAACATGTATGATCTGCATCAAGAGGTCATAGACCACAATATTTAAACACCATATGTATCGTCATTCAAATTACTTATAATGATTCAATGGAACTTTAATGGCACCTTTATTGTTCCAAACATTTAGCTCAACATCATAATCAGAACAATAACACAACTGCAGGAGCAGTGTGGCTAATATTAATAGTAGTGAAGTGACCACTGAATAGATGATGGCAGAATAAGATTAATAAAGTTAATAAATAAAGTTTTGAATTTTCTGTTTGTGTCTCTTCAGATTCTACAGTGGGTGTTCAGGAAGAGAGCAGGAAAGTCCCCTGGTCTGACAAAGAGACCATCATCCTTCTGGAGATCTGGGGAGACCCACAGGTAGAGGACAACATTATAATACACATATGTAGTTATGCCTTTAAAGCTGGAGTGTGGAACGTTTGTCTCCCCCCTCTGGCAGTAAGAGTCATTACACAAACACAGTCAACAAGTGCCTGCAGAAGAGCTTGCTGCATCTCTACCTTTCTTTTTTCTCTTTAATCGTCCTCTGAACTCCAAGTGTCTTTATTTAAACTTTGCATTTTGCATCTTTTCCACCATGGCTTCTGTCAGAGGTCTAATCATAACCTTGAGCTTATAATCATGTAGCATGTTTTTGTTCCTTCTGTTCAAAAGCAAAGTGAAAAGTATTCAATCTTAAACTAGAGGTTTCATGTGCATGATATCTTCATTCAGGTCCAGCAGAGCATGAGACGCTACCCGCACAACGGTCACATTTTTACTGAGATATCCGAGAAGCTCAGCGCCAACGGCTACTCCCGTACCGCAGGGCAGTGCCACACCAGGATCAAACGGCTGAAAGCCAGCTATCGGCAGTGTCGGGAAAACATGAGGTGAGTCCTACATGTGAATATTAATTTTGTATTCTGTACCGTAGGTGGGACGTGTCTGTGTTAATACAACTGTCTTTCCTGTCTGCAGCTCATCTGGGACTGACAGAGTCGACTTTAAGTTCTATGATCTGTTGGAACAAATCCTGGACAAGCAGCCGTCGACGTCCTCCACTGTGGTGACGGACTCCATCGAAATATCAGAGGACTCCAACGGTGAATCTGTGACTGAAGCAGGTAAAAATCTGCTCATCAGCTCGTGGGTAAAAAGGCAGTACTTTCTCAAATCAAAATCCTTCCTCAGGCCAGCTGTGCTAGATCTTTACCCACACTGGTTACTTCTCTAATAAAGACAATGCAGTCCTTTAAAATTCAATGTGAAAAAGGTTTACTGTGAGTCCTTAAAGATTAGGCACAATAAACTGAATTGGTCCTGGGAGCAGACTGACTGGTCTCAGTGTTACCTTCATCTTTATGCTGCTCACATTCCCCTCCTCTTGTGGGCCTTGTTGGCAGAGCTCTGTTGTTACGCCCTCTGATCACTGCTCCCTACTCTTCCCACCATCGTTTCTCAAACCCAGAACACTGTGACATCACCTGAGTGCACACACCAACTTTAGTACAGATGGCAAACACATTAGTGTCTCAGAATTTGCAAGGGAACTGCTTGTCGAGCTTCATGAATGTCCTAATTATGGACTCGTGCATTTTATATTGAGCATTTTAAATTATGAATGTAATTTTGAATTATAAATACTACTGTATGGGAGTGAATGAGCCTCGATATACTTAAAGCATTCCCTGTGAACTGTTTCTGAACATGTGACAGTTACGGGATAATGGTAAATGCTAAAAGTCCTTTGCACACTTAGTCCGTTTTTTTTTTTCCAGATGCGTTTTTTTTTTCCCTCATGCGAAAAAAAATCATTACATCATTACTGTCTTGTCGCAGTTGTGTCCTGCCGCCACATTTTCTTCACTGTTCCTTGGTCAAACGTCTCTAAAGGCTCTGACGGATTGAACCTGTTTTGCAAATTGTAATGACGGACAAGCGTTTTGGACTCACAGCTTATTTTTTTCCATTTATTTTTAGACATGCGACAAAGACATGGACGAAGAAAACGGACTCAGTGTGCAAAGCCCTTCACACAACTAGAAAAGAGTAACAGAGTTGCACAGAAGGTTCTCTCTAAAGGTAACTGACAGTAGCTAGCATTAGCCACCAAAATAAGCTACTGCTCATGCCAAATCGCGTCTATAATTTTTCCAGCCCACTCTAGATGAGGCTGTGCCCACTTCCTTGTGACGAAGGCAAGCTGCTAGACGTCAGGTCCGATGACTGGCTGCCAGCCTACTGCTGTGGCACACAGCAAGTCGGGTGCTGCTGGCTCAAAGAGGCGCGTATAGCTGGATGCCCTTTGAAATGGCACAGCTTGAGGTCATCAATGTCTTTGAACACCGCCCTTGCCGAAAAACACTGAAGAACTCTACCCATCACATTCCTCTCCTTAGAGCCAGGATGTTGGGTTTTGAAGGTAAACTTTGCTGATTTTCAACTCCCTCTGTCATCACAGTTTGGAGTCTAGCTGATGAGCCGGGAGCTGGTGGCACCGTGGCGGCACAGGGGGAAGCCAAACACCATTTATCAGGACACACTGCAATGACAGAGCTGGTTGTTAAGGGGGGAAAAAAGCTGTCCTTGAACTACCCATATCACTACTTTACAAGTTAGTGCAGCTGTCATACTTCCCGGAGATGGACCTTGGGTGGCTGTAGCAACTCAAATTTAGCCAGCGCAAACACCAGGGCCTAGGGTCTGATCTTGAACCACTCCCCACCGAATCAGCAAACTTTACAGCTTTGTAGTCTCCAAAGGATGGGGAGTGGATCGGAGGGACCGTAGGGTGGGCTAGCCAGCTGACAGCCAATCATCAAGCCTTGATATCTGGCAGCCTGCTTCGTCATGCGTCAGGTTTCATCTACATTGGGTTAGAAAAACAATAGCAGCACCCAGATCAAGACAGGCTAGCTCCCAAAAGAGTGTTTTAAGTCAAACAAGGCTGCGTTTTATTGCTTATTAGAGTTACATTACATTTGTAAGAGGAATCATTTTGATATACGTTCTCCTAAAAGTGAAAGTCTTGCTTTAATGCATCACATAACTCATAACATCTTCGAAACTGCACTTGACAATTCGATGTTTCTATGCCTTAGAAAGACAAATCAAATTTCTCAGCCGTAACGACAGTACCTTGTGAAACTGTACATTCATACCTAAACGGGTACAGACAGTGATTCGTGCTGTGTTTCTGCTGTAAGATGGAGACATCAGCATGCCGACAGAAAAACTGACAACTAGCTCGTGGTCAGACGAGGAGACCCTGGCGCTTATCGAGATCTGGGGCGACGAAGACGTTCAGAGGGCGCTGAGGGGTTTCGTCCACAACGGACACGTTTACGCTGACATAGGGGAGAGAATGCACGACCTTGGCTACTCGAAGACCGCCGAGCAGTGTCGCTGGAAAGTCAAGTCACTGAGGACGAATTTTCGACAGTGCTACGACAGGAAGAAGTGAGATCAACCTTTCTATCAGTTTGTCTGTTTGCAAATATAATCCACAGTGACGCTAACAGTTCATATTTACGTCTTTTCACGCCTTCTAGATGTGGAAGAAGAGTTGATTACAGATTCTATAACCAGCTGGAGCAAATACTCGGACAGGAGGCGGTTTCTATTGATGAGTATGATGAAAGAGACGAACAACCAGATCAGGATCCAGGTACACTGACTGTCTTTCATTCATGTATTCACACAGCATCCAATCAGTCGTCCTTACTGCTGCATCCTCATATGAAACAGGTGCAGATGGTGTGAACACATCGTGGACGGAGCAGGAGACGGCAGCTCTCGTGGAGATTTGGGCTGCAGACGACGTGCAGCACAGCCTGAAAACCTGCGTCCGCAATGGGCACATATTCGCCGACATGTCGGAGAAGATGGCCGCCATGGGATACATGAGGACGGCGGAGCAGTGCCACTCCCGGATCAAACGGTTGAAGAAGACTTACAGGCGCTACTGCAACAGCCGGAGGTAAACTGGATGAGTGATTGTTTGTCAGAGAGTAAAACCTTTTCAATTCAAATCAAAGCCGCCATTTTCACAGCAGCAGACTTTCACAGCTCGCTTTTGATTTTCCAGAAGTGGAGGACGGCCCACTGTGTTCCGATACTTCCACCTCCTGGCCCCAGTGCTCGGTGATGACTCTGTGTGCACTGATGTGGACACTACTGTTGCTGACACCACCCTGCAACCCCTCATGGACAAGGATCCTGAAATATGTAGGTTCAAATATGACCTGTGTCATACCATGTAGATTTTAAAGATGAACACCCAATAATAAATCTGTTGTTCTTCCACGTAGACGAGCAGCCCTCAGCCAGCCACCTCCTGGCCGACCTGAGCAGGAAGATGCCCTGGTCGGACCAGGAGACTCGCACCCTGCTGGAGATCTGGGGTGAAGACAACGTGCAGCTCACTCTGAGAGGCTGCCTGAAGAACCGTCACGTGTTTGAGTACATCTCTGAGAAGATGAGCGACGGAGGGTTCATCAGGACCTCAGAGCAGTGCTACACACGCATTAAGCGCCTTAAACATGGCTTCCTCCACGAAAAGTCCGTGATGACAAAACTATGATTCCTTTCTCTTCTAAACACATTTATAATGTATTTTATTGGAACTGATAACTGGTAACTTTGGTGTTTTCCTACCTGGACTCTATTTTCTCATGTTTTTGTGTGTGACTGACCAAGGGAAACAAGAATTTTTGAAACTGAACCAATAATGAGTGAGAGGCTCCACCAGCAGGAGCAAAACAGGCTGCAATGTAACCACTCAGGACATGTTTGCACTGTCAGTTTACGTCCACTAAAAGTGCTTGTTTTTGCCACTGACACAGAAACAGCCCTGACATCACTTTCACAAAACCACAACATTTTTTTGTGAGTTTTGTTTTGTTTCTACCGACTTTGAATGAAGTGTGTTTTACGATGTAAAATTAAGGCCAAAACACACCACCAAAACAAACGTCACACGTCAGAAAATACAGCCTATTATTTTCAGTGTACAACCCCAGACTGGCGGCGGCTAGATGCGCATGGGTGCTCACGGCACTTATTTAACCCTCGCCACCCCCAGAATTAAATGCATTTATCCCCCACTCACTCTCTGCTTGTACATATCAGCTCCCATAGCAGCTCTTCTACTCTGCTCCTGTGGCAGCTTGACACCTTTCCTCACCATGGATGCATAAAGAGGACTCTGTAGCTGTTGCTGTGTCTCGTGTGACAAAGAATGGATGAGGAGAGAATCGTTGAGGTTGAGCTAAATGACTCACAATCCCACCATTATAAAGACAATGGCCAAAAAGATATTGCCTGGTGAGTCATAGCTCTTCAGGTGCAAAATAAAGTTTAATTAGGGGCTGTCCACACGTGATTTTGAGCTAACGCAGAAGTGGAAGAGGTACAGATCTTTTAGTAAAAGTAGTAATAACTTTGTGTGGTCGTCTGTTAGCAAGCAGCTATGTGACGCGTGTGGTGTGTGCTATGGGGTGGCAGTTGATGCGTGCCAGTGCCAGTGTTTTCAGCTTCACTGTTAGTTCAACTGGAGTCTGGTGGAATTGGCGATAGCGATTTTGGGGCTGTTTATGGTTAAACAAAAATCATCTTACTCTTTACCGTTGTAGGGATCCTTTCCATATTGTAATTAGACACTTAAAAAAAATCTGAGCCTGTCAGTGACAAAAACAAACACTTATAGTGGATGTAATTGACAGTGCACCATTTCCCCAAATGGTGACATTGCAGCCTGTTTTGCAGCTGCTACAATGCTCTCTCTCAATACTGGACCAATTTCAAAAACTGTTGTTGCCATGACTGACTTAGACACAAAAACATGGGAAAATATGGTCCAGTGTGAAAAATACTGAACTTGCCCTTTAACAGCCAGCATCATGAGGCAATTTTAGTTGGTTAGATCGATGTCAAACAAAATGTTCTACATCTCATGTTTGCTCTTTATCAGACAGTAGTCGATCAATACAACAGACCACATAATGTTGGAAATTGAACAGTTTTTGTTGTAAAAATTGCTCTGCATTGTTATATTGTGGTGGAAAATATTTGGGATCTAACAGGCTAACTGTCAGTGTTTTTTTCCTTTAAATTCAGGGAGGATTATAAATTCTTCAATGAGATGGATGGAATCTTCAGGAAGGAGCTGAAAGTGGACGACACAGTCGCAGACACGCCAGTCATGGATGAACCAGAAGAGGTGCCTCAGAAGAAAGGTGAAACGTGCTGCATCATACTAACTGTAATACATTTATAACAGCTGTCATAGCAGCAGATGTTGCAGCGGTAGCATCAAGTGACAGTCAAGCTGTCATGTCTCAGTTATTTAGTTTTTATCATCACAAGTTGAATCAAAACAAAACATAAGACAAAATAAATTAGTCTCAGGACCAAAGTCAAAGCACATGAGATACAGTTTGATAAACATATCGCAGAAGAAGAAGAAGAAAAAAAAAAACATACGCGATTCATTAGAGGAGAATCTCCAGTTTTCCTTAAAGTTCTAGTTAAGGTTTCCTCAAAATAAAACCGGTTGCTCAAAATACTATTAAGTCTTCTCCTTAAGGTTTCCTTAAAATGTTCACTTAAGTATTTGCGGTCTTCACTTGCCTGGTCTTATAATTAAGGAATCCCGGCTGCTACACAAAAGACATTAGCAACCACAGCAAAGTAAAAAAACTTAAGGTACCTCTGACTCTCTCTTAACTGCAACACGACTGAGTTTATGGTGATAAATTACAAAAAATAACACACCTGAGAAGAGTGCTTGCGACCAGGAGAACCCGATGGATACACTTTTGATTTTACACCATAGATTTGACTGAATTAATTTCCATTGCTAAGGTCGTTCCCATGATCATAATCCTCCAGAAGTATAATCTTTTCCTCCTCTGACCAATATAGTTTTCTTGTCTTCTTTTCTTCTGCCATCTTTTCACTATCTAACTATAAGCCAACTTTGTGAAGCGATAACAGGCATCACAAATGTGAGTCAAAGCAAATAAACAATCTCCATGGAAACTTTCACTGCTGTAAAATCTCTTTCAACGCAGTTGGTGAATTAACATTTTTCCTTAACTAAGGAAACCTTTTAAGGGATTCTGTGCAACTGTGTTAGTGGCTTAGCTAAGTAGAAATTAACCTTTAAGTGTCACACTTAAGGAGAAAACTGAAGTGGTTTTGTGTAACTGGTCCCAGCTTCTCAATGATCTTTTTTGACCCAGTGCTTTGTGTTGCATTAAAGTTTTGTATCTTATTGCACAGTCTTTTATGCTTTTGATCCTGTTTCCTGTAAATGAGTGAATGAAAAGTAGTACCATAAATACAAGTGAGCCAATGACATGAGAAAATCTCTCTTGTCCACTTGTCTATATGCCAGATAATACACATCTTTATACCAATAAAGTAGATCTACAGCTGCCAGTAGTGTTTTTCTTTTATTGTAATTCTGCAATAAAGTGTACAGATTCTTATTTTTCCCGCTCTGTTAGTTGCCTCAGGTACACAGTGGGTGGGCGACAGCTCGAAGCTGGCCTGGAGCGATGGGGAGACCGAGGCCCTCCTGGACATCTGGGGCAGCGAGGAGATCCAGGAGAACTTGAAGGGCTGCACCAAGAACAAACACATCTTCATCCAGATCTCCGAGGTCATGGCTAGCCAGGGCTACATGCGGACTCCTGAGCAGTGTCAGACCAGGATCAAGAGGCTGAGGGCCAATTTCAGACAGTTTCTAGAGGGCAGAAAGTAAGTGGCTTTGGGAAGGGGGGATGTGGCTAGATAATGGTACATGCCTAATCATCTAAACATCCTTGGAAGGGTTGGTACAGAGCAGAGTTTTTCAGCTACTCAGACAGTAGGTTACATCTATCTTTTAGAGTATGTAGTCCATTTTTCCCCCATTGTTCATCGTCTTAAGGAAAAGGTCAATCTCTGCATACAGTGAATGTCATCGAAAATTGCAGCCCAGTCGTCTTTTGATGGCAGGTTTGCCTGCAGACACTTCCATGTGATGGCTGTCTTGCTCTCAACCAAACTTACTTTACAAAGATGTTCAACCGGGGACATGAGTCTGTCTGGGATTTTGACAAAAGACCAATTGACTTCTATTCCAACAATGTTCCTTATTTCTTTGGCAATTTCTTGACAGTATGAATGGATTTTAGAGCAGCCCCAAAACATGTGAAATTGGTCTGCCATTGATTCACCACACTGCCGTCAGCGTTCATCCCAGACCTGAGAAACCTGCTGTGTAAATTTCAATTTTGGTGTCACATAATATCATATTATGTTCTTCCAGCAGAGTTCCAGACAGGATCTTGAGTTTGTAGTCCGAGTCTAAACCTCCCAAATATCATTCTGTCATCTGCAGATATCTCCAGGCCTGATTCTCTCTCCTGTTTCTGATTGACCTGGACAGTAGAGTAACTTTTGGAGTTTTGTATCTATTATATAGTCATGATACAGGATGTTGTCGTCTGTATACGTCAGTGAATATATTAATTATTATTTTTTTCTATGATTGTAAGCATTTAAAGCGGGTGTCATACATACGGCTCAAGGGCCAGAATCGGCCCGCCAAAGGATCCAGTCCGGCCCACTAGACGACTTTGCACACCTAATATTGAAGCAGTTGTGGAGGCTTGTTGTGAGATGCAGCTTTCAGGAGCAAGTTAAATGAGTACCCTCCTTCATGTGAAATGCTGCTTCAAAGGCTTTTCCACTCTGACTGGAATACATCTCTCTGAAAAATCACTTAATACTTATAGATATAGAACATTGTGCAAAACATTAGCAACCAGCAGCTTCAGACTTCTATATTTAAAACACTTCTGGTGGAACCCTTCAGCTAAGGTACGGCCAGTACTCTAGATTTGTAAATGGTTTGTAAGGTGCGGCTAACTTACCTTCCACTTTAGTTTGATGTGGTGATGCCAGCATTACTGCAAAAGAGTGGAAATGTGTGGAAAAATGCCATGACAGCGAGAAGTCGACTGGCTGAATGTGGAAAAACTGAGACATAGTGTTGTGAAAATGCACTTTTGTTCTTAAGATATCTCATGCTGTTAGTCATCTGTTATGATAAATGTTTTTAAAATGTACTTGTACTACTTTTCACTGAAAGAAAATGAAACAGTAGGTATTTCTAGGTTTTTACACAGTGGTTTTACTGATCTGGCCCACTTGAGATCAAATACGCTTAAAGCGACACTTACCTTTCTGGAAATTTTACTCTTTTCTTTGTTTAGGTTAAAATGCTATTAATAAGCTGATGGCACACTAAAATGTAAGTGAATTCCACCAGAAATAAAAACTCATAAATTTACCATTCTCGTATGGTTCTAAGAAAACTCCGACCAATCATTGCTGAGCATCCTGTCCGTCTTCACCACGTGGAGGCCTCCGACTGATGTAACCGCTCACGTAACACACAAGTTTTAAAACTTAGAGGTTGTTTTTGACTGTGCAGGACAGGTAACGTTATGTTTAGTTTGCTTCTAATATAACATATAATGTTATATGACAACACAGCATCCATTTGCTAATGGCTAACGTTAGCCTACTGTAGCGTAGCCTCTGAAACATTAACGTTATCTTCCCTGTGCGTTACCACTTACTAGTAACGTTAACGCTACTATCTAACGTTAGCACTGTAACCTTATTCCAAAACTCATCAGTCATCACTGACTCCGGTTGAGTTTTAAAACTCCGGTGTTGCATTTGTAACGTTACATTCGCCCTCCTCTTCCTTGTATCTAACGTTACCTTGCCAACACCGACGTAACGGAGGAGGGGGATGGGACTTTGGAGGGAGGCGGGAATTGTGGATGTTCAAATTTTTTCTAAGTGCTGTGTGAAAATGCAAGAAAGGTAAGAGTAGTGTTAATAAGACCCATGAACTAAAATGAGTTTGACATTCCTAATTTAAAACGTCCCAAATACTTTAAGCCAATACCATTAACTTTAGTGCGGTAAGCTGTGACACCATAATGTGCTCACTGCCTAAATCTCATATCTAGACCTAAGGTTTCAACTCGGGATCGTATGCCACTCATTTCAGTATTTTCTCATGCTTCTTAAGGTGTAACCTTTGACAGGTCTTAATCCATGACAGCTGCCTTGGTTTATTGGTTTGGTTTATACAGACAAGAATCCTAGTGATTTACCAAATATAGACTGTGCCAGTATTTCGAATTGCATTCATTCCTCGTTTCTTCATTGGCTGAATAGTGTATCTATGCTTACGTCTAAGCATGTTTCAAACTTCAACACATTTGATCAGCTGCTGCTGTACATGTTCATTTGTGGCAAAACGTTCTGTCTAATCATTTAACACGCTCTGAAATTCTGTTTCATGTTTCCAGAGGAGAAAAATCGGAGTGCAAGTTCTTTGACCAGCTGGTGCAGGTCTTTGGAAGCAAGTACATAATAAACTCTGACCCCCTGGCCGACGACACAGCCGATGGTATAGGTAAGAGGTCACACTACCGCACTGTTGTCCATCATGTTTAGAGTTATGTAGTGGTTTTATTAAGTGGGTGATGGTGAGCAGTGACAGATTCCTTTGTCTGATCCAGAGACCTGAGACTGTCCGTCATCGTGGAGTCAGATCATGAGGACGCAGCAGCTGCAGACGACGGAGGAACATCGAGAAGATAAGAACAAGGACACTGAAGCAGAAACTGTCACATCAGCAGCTGTGGTGTGCAGTTGTTTACAGATGACATTTGCCTCTGTACATACAAATACTTTTACATTCTTCATACACACTGGCTGTAGTGGTGTGTGTGTGTGTGTGCGTGTGTGTGTGCGCGTGTGTGTTTGCGTCCCTCCACCAGTGTCTTTGTATGATTTCCAAAAGAGCCATGACACTAAATCCAGAAAGCTCAGGGCTCGAGGGACAAAAACCAATCTCTGATTTTGACTTGGAGGGAGTCACTTGAAACGCCGTGCTCCTCCAGAAAACATGTTTTTGCTAGCGTTGAATTATTTTGTACTTTGAATCGAAGCACACGCAAAAAGAAACACACGTAAGACCTCTGTTACCGTAAGCACTGCGCACATTTGCTTTGTTTGTTTTATTCTGTCTTTGCACTTGTTTACAGTGTTTGAAATCCGAGTTGTGAAAGTTGGATTCATGAAGCTAATTCTTATTTTTTACATCATATGAATTGATATTGTCCAGAATTATATTTATTTAAGTTATTGTTTACATATGTATTCCAAACTTTTACAGTTTTCATTGAATATGTTTCACTTCAAACTTTATTGAAGCGCATATTTTCCACAAACTTGTCGAGGTTTTGTCACACGCATTAAAAAAAAATTAAAATGTTTGATTGATGATTTATTGCCGTGATTTGTTGTGTGTTGATTGCATCATTTTATTTTTGGTTTGCGTAAACAGTTCAACCACACGTCTTTAAGATGTTGATAGAACACTAAAACCATGATGGAGCATGATTTGGGCAGACGTTGAGAGATGACATTGTGAAGACAGAAGCCTGTAACACTTGAATTTATTATTCATGTGAACCTTAAAGCCTCCATGATTTCGTCAAAAAACACCGCTTTGTCAGTGATTTTGGCGTCTTAAATGCTATATCGTAGGCAACTGGACGTGCTTGAGGTTCTTGAAGACGTTTCACCTCTCATCCAAGACGCTTCTTCAGTTCTGAAGCTTCTGAAGCTCCTCTTGGATGAGAGGTGAAACGTCTTCAAGAAACTCAAGCAAGTCCAGTTGCCTACGACTTAGCACTTAAGATTACAGTGAAGTGGATGACTGAGACTTGCTTAACAAGTTTGGCATCAGACACAGATGCCAAAGGCCACCTTTCACAGTGGTTTGATACACTGCCAGTTGTCCGGACAGTACATTTCGTGGCAGTATGACACATGGATGGATGGCATCAGTTGATAACATGGCGGGACAGTACCCGTCACAATGGTATGATACACCACTGGACAGCATCAGTTTGAAACGCTGCTGGTAACGACATAATATAAGGAGCTGCAAAGTCCTTACAGGGCAGGTGGGACGGGTGGTGGATGAGTCCAACAAATCCTCCACTTTCTCTCCCAGGAGCCCGATGTTCGCTTCCCATGTGAATGTAGAGCAACACAATCATGTTTTTTTCCCAACCTAACCACGTGCTTGTGTTGGACAAGAAAATAACCGACGATGTTTTACCGATGTAGCTTTATTTTGAAAAAGACTATACATCGAACGAGCAGATACTGCACATTTCCTGTGAAAACAGAAGTGTATCAGAAAAGACACAAGGCATTTAACAGCTGTAAATTGACACACCTGGTGCGTAACATATAGACAGAGTTGCGATATTTGACGAGTTGGGATGAGAACATCATGAAAATGCATGTGTTTGTGAAGGACTGAGTGTATGACTGGATAAATGAGACTTGCGCAATTTGTGGGAGACTTTATAAACAGATGTTTTGGTCTGATTTTGCTGGTAAACATGGTCACGGATCAATCAATAAATCAATATGCCATTTTCTTTAGAGGCATGCGAGAAAAACAAAGTGATCTTCATGAAATCAAGGTAATAGGGCATGACGAAACTATCTACAAATGGTCATTTTGTGGGTGAACTATACCTTTAAGTTCATGTTTAAGCGCTAGGTAATTAGTACTCTCTTTTAATGCAATAGGAAGAGCGTAGTGGGTGGCTCTGACTGAGAACGCTGTTTGCTCAGGCTTCCTACATCTGTATCGAACAGCACAGTCACCTTTAGTATATACCTTTACTGACCCGCCACGATCCATCTGCATCATGAACTGACTCACTGTGGGAGCTGCAACCCATGTACAACCTTAAAGATGAGGCCAGCTTTTGTATTCTTGTACTGTACGGCAATGGTGAGAACTATTTACCTTCAGGTCAGGTGTTTTTAGGGTCTGTTTGGAAAGGGACTCCAGCTGGTTTCAAAGGTTGCAGGAGAGAATTACAGATGTTGTCTATGAAACTTTACAACATTTACACTGCAACTTACAAATATTGCCCACTTGGTGGCGCCAGTGGATAATAAGTTACACTACAGGGACTGCAATTGTCTTGAAACTGTTTCAAAGTCATCAAGTTTGTCCCTTAAGCCCTAGTTTTGGGAAAAGACACTCAGAAACACATCAAAATAAATGTTTCTCTTTTTTCCCCGAGTGTCCCTGTGTCATCTTGTCTCACTGGAAGTCGTCTGCTGTCTCTTTAGACTGTGTCTCACGTCCTGTTGTCCATTTACAATCATGTATCAATATGCACTCAGGAGAGCTCTGTCCCAGCATCACTGACACAAACACACTCTATGTCAAACACACACTCTCAGTACACTTAAATAGACACAGAGACAAACACACATACATACACAGCTCTCAAAAGCTAGGACAGTAATTACGTGTCTAAATTTGACAGAGCGTCCAACCGCCACACTGGCTGCCTGCCAGAGTGTGTGTGTGTGTGTTTGTGTGTGTGTGTGTGTGTGTGTGTGAGACACTGGTGAAGACAGAGACAGGCTGGCTGGAATGTGTTGAGGGAAGGGTTATACTGAGGGTGTTGCTGCACTCAAGAACACACACACACACACACACACACAAGAAGGCCGAGCAATGCCACATCACCCACCTCACCACTCGGCCCACTTTGCACACACTCTCACCCTCACACACTGTTTTCTACGCTCATATCACACAGATAATAAAGCAGAGATGCATCCACTGTGTGTGTTCTGGATAAATCAGTCCATGTAACTCAAATAATGTTGACTTTTTTGTTTGTATGTTTGTGTGCTTTTGTTGTTGTTTGTTTTGTTTTTTTAATTTCTGAGATAAAGAGAGAAGATTCTACTCTAAAAAGACTAAACTCTACTATTCAGATGATGCCAGCTAACATTTACTCAGGCTGGGTTTCCACCTGATGATGCTTATGTGTCGCATAAGGCTCAGATTGAACCACACAACACTATTCCAGCCATTCAGCAACAGGTGGCGCTCATGCTCATGCACAAGACAGTGGAAAGGCCATGGATGTTTAACGCCTCGTTTCCACACAGTTCTGTTTTATGTCCAAATCTCTGTATATTAATCATAGTACGCCCCTAGTGTTCCACACAAGGAAATGCATCTCTTTACAGATGGGTAAAAACACCTCCACAGAAATGGCATTAAAGTTTATATTTATTATCCACCACCCATGCACTCCACATGCTACACAGCTAGCATGCTACCAATGTTAGCTAAGTCAGTGGTTCCCAACTGGTCCAGCCACAGGGTCCAGATTTCTCCTTAGTCATTAGCTCAAGGTCCATACAGTTTAATATATTCAGCGTCATACTTAGTCACTCTAGAGCAGGAAATGGCACTTCAGAATAAAAGCTCTGTGCCAGAAATTCCCCGTACCTCAAAATAAAGTGTGTTTTTTTACAAACTTGGGACATTCCCGAGTCACTTGTGGTCCATTCAGAATGGACCTGCGACCCACTTTTAGTCCACGATCCACCAGTTGGGAACCACTGAGCAAATATATGTTTGGGTGGTGAGTCCAAATATCGACAGTCTTTCTTCCAAATCACTGACTCCACCTTTACGTATAGTTTTGAGGTATTTGTGCTTGACTTGAGTAGTCCAATTTTACTTCTGCTTCATTTCAGAGTGAAATGGTGTACTCACTCACAACATGTGTTTTTTTGTTTTGTTTTTTTTTTCAAAATATTTTTTTGAAATTTGAATTACACATTGTCACTTTGTCAGGAAATAGAAGCATCCACATAAAGAAGAGTCGCCAAAAAATATAATATAAAATAATGTAAACTAAAATAAAATTAAATTAAATTTAAAAAAAATCAATTAAATTAGGTTAAATCAAAATAAATTTAAATAAAATTTTAAAAATTGAATTAAATTTGGAATAAATGTACATTACAAGAAAAAGAGATAATGTTTGGCCAAATTCACAATTAAGTCAGTACAGCACCTTATCCTATTGGTATTCTAAAATAAATAAGTAATTACAGGAGCCCATACATTTAAAAACCTGCCTGTTTTTACATGGAGTTCTGTCAGTATATTTTTCATTGAGTACACTCTCATTAACCTGTCTTGTGGTTGAGGTGGGGTGGGTGGAAGTGGTTTGAGCCAAGATGAAGTTTTCATTTTTTGGATCCTTAGCTCCATCAGGGATTGCTCCTAAAAAATACAACAGGTCTGATGGTAAAAAATTGTTCAAAATGATAAGTATTTCTGTATGAATCCCTTTCAAAGAAAGGCTCTCAATATGTCATCCACTGCTGTTTTCAGTGATGCTAATCATTAGCTACATGATAGCTACACTTTCTGGGCCTCCAGACTGAAGCATTTCCCAGTTTCATCATCTCCTGTCTTCCTGTGTTTTTCCATCAGCCACCTCCAGATGTAGATACGTGACAAGTTGAAGAAGAAAAGCCAGCTCAAAGTTTCGTAATCAGGTATTGGACCAGGTCATGATGAGGTGATGGAGCTCTGCTTCTTCCCTCATTTGAGGTTTTGTTTAACACATCAGAATCTACCATAGTGTCTCAGTTAGGCTGATGTGGTATTCATGATTATCATACTCATCAAACCATTTAGTGGCCCTTAGTATGGGGCCTGTCATCCAGGGACAAGTCACATGCCACCGAGCAAGATGGGATGTTAATGTCACATGTATGGATGCATCACTGATCACAGCTCCCTGCTCTTTTATTCAGGTTTTGATTTGTGACTCTCTGTATATGAGTGGATCCTGCAGCCTGTAACAGAGGGGGCATGGCAGGGTTGTGCAACATGCAACTGAGTCATTCCTCCCTGAGGGCAGACATTTTCACCCTGCTTCATTACTGCAACAGGCAGGCTCACGTTCTCTCTCTATCTCTGTGTGTGTGTGTGTGTGTGTGTGTGTGTGTGTGTGTGCGCGTGTGTGTGTCCAGAGCAGATACACTCATCCTGTTATGTCCTCAAACATGCAGCTTCATGCTCTGCCCTCCACTGCAGGCGCATATGTGTGTAAGACAGAATATAACTGAGAGAGGATGGAGGGAGGTTATCGGTTAGCAGCGAGGAAATAAGACCAAATGTGAGGAAGAAAGATGGTGTGTGTGCATGTGTGTGTGTGTGTGTGTGTGTGTGTGTGTGTGTGTGTGTGTATGTGTAGGGAGCCTCCCTCCATTGGGGTTGTGTATGGGCTTGTTACAGCTACATTCCTCCACTCAGCTGCTTCTGAGAAGCACATTCCAGGAACAGAGAGATAGAAAGAGAAGAGAGAGTGAGTGAAAAGGAGGAAGAGAAGAAGAGAGGAAGATGAAAGAGGGGGAGGAGGAAGAGGGGAGAAAGGGAGGGGGTAAATGAGGCAAAGAGGATGGACATGAGCGAGTTATTAGGGAAGGAAATGAGAATATTAATATGATATGTAATTGATCCCTGTTGTGACCTCTCTTCTGCACGGAGAGGTCAAAGGTCAGGGTCAGATAAAGTACAGAGAAAATACACGCAGTGCTGAGAAAAGGAAGGGACAGAGAGAAAGGGGGGTGGATCCCAGGAGGCTATGCGGTCTTTTCTTAAAATATTATTCCCCATACAACCATAACACACACACACACACACACACACACACACACACACAGTGAAGTGGAGTACTCTTTGGTGTGTGTTCATCTCTTCAGTCTGCTTGACCTGTTTCCACTGAACCGTGGAGGAAAGAAACACATCTCACCACAAACATGGACACACACATCATGATTCAGCTGCATGATTACACTCCTCTACATGTACACACACACACACACACACACACACACACACACACACACACACACACACACACACAACAGTAAATGGTAGTTTATTGGATTGTAAATAACACAAGCACATAAGATAACCTCAGAAATAAAAATTAAAACATCAGGTTTAGTTAGAACCAGTGAACTACATCTACTAACAGCCACTTTATTAGGTACGCCATGCTAGTACCCGGTTGGACCCTTTTGCCTTCAGAACTGCCTTAATTCTTGGTGGCATAGATTCAACAAGGTGCTGGAAACATTTCTCAGAGATTTTGGTCCATATTGACATGATGACATCACACAGTTGCTGCAGATTTCTCGGCTGCTGTAGCCCATCTGCTTCAAGGTTGGACGTGTTGTTGATTCAGAGATGGTCTTCTGCAGACCTTGGTTTTAACCAGTGGTTATTTGAGTTACTGTTGCCTTTCTATCATCTTGAACCAGTCTGGCTATTCTCCTCTGACCTCTTGGATAACATACTAAATACATTAGACACGTGTGCAAATCTGTTGGAGCAGCCAGAGTGGGAGACTCAGATGTGCAAATTTACCATGTGCATGGTTACTGAAGGAGCAAAACAGAGTGGAGTCTGGTTGGGACAGAAACTGTAAAGCTGGAGTTAGACAGAGGTGAGGTGTTGTAGAGAGTTATTGTTTTGGACAGGAAAGATTTCCTGTATCCTCGTGACGGCCAAGTGGAACCAGTCTGTTAGAGAAAGAGGTTGCAGCCCTAACGTCCTGTAACACACAGCTAAGGACCTGTTGACAGACTTCATGTTGCGTGTGTGTGTGTGTGTGAGAGAGAGAGCTCAAAGGTGAACACACACCCCTGTTCATATCAAAGTGTTAGCTGACTGAGTTTTAAATGGACCAATTCAGAGAGATACACTTGAGAAGAGAATAAAATAAAAGAGGGACAGAAAAGAGAAAAGGGATTACAGCAGCAAATCAGCTGTGTCCCTCACGTGTGGTGAATGAAGAGGGGACACAGACACAGACAAAAAGCAGAGACAACATAAAATATTTACTGAGGATAACAAGCAAATAAGTTTAAAGGCAAGAGCAACAAAAAGCAGTTTGTGTGTGAGAGCCTGTTGGCTCAGTGACAGCGTCCCTGCTCCTTCTCCCTCTTCCTCACACTGAATAGACGGGTTTGTTTGTTGTCACTGGTAGAACTAAAGGAAAACAATGTCACTCGATTCCCCTTCTCTCCGTGTGTGTGCTTACTGGAGGACAGTTAATCGTGCATAAGTGTCTATTGAGTTCCTGTCCCCCTCGACAGCTCTATCTAGAATACCAATTTACCATTTGTATTTTCTCCTCTTCTCTCCATCTCCATTAATCTGTCCTTCTCACCAGTTTGCCAGTGAGGCTACATTAAACTGAAATGAACTGGACACACACACACACACACACACACACACACACACACACACACAGTTACATATGCACCCTTAGTGGAAGTGTTTCATGATATTTGCTTCTATTTCTGGTCGCATCTTAATCCAGATTATATATCTGACCCATTAATCTGTTGGCTGTTAGCTGCCTCTTCACTCTGGGCTACACAAACGTAAAGATAAATTCACTGTAACCTGCTCTCTCCTGTGTCTCCTGACAGAGTTCAGATTTTTGAGACAGCGGAGCAGGTCAGTGGCTTCCCTGTGTGACTGTATATACTGTATATGTGATGCCCAACACCACGGAAAGGAGCTGAAGGAATTAGATGGAGTGCCACCTGGACCTGTTACATAACAGAGATGCTTTCACATTAATGCATCAATGATTTCATTGCAGGGGAGAATTCTCAGAGTGATGACTAAGGACAGGAAATCCTACTGCATGACACTTGCAAAAAATGGTCTAGTGATGGGCGGATGGAGTCTTTTCACAATAGTGGTTCCTTTGATTTGATACCTGTAAATTTATCAAACCAAATCGAACCTTTTGAGTTTGATACCTTTTGCGAAATACGGTCTCTTCATCCATGTTCATCCGCTTATCCGAAGCCATGTACGGGTGGCAGCAGGCCAAGCAAAGCACCCCAGACGTCCTTCTACCCAGCAAAACTTTGCAGCTCATCCTGGGGGACCCTGAGGTGTTCCCAGGTCAGATTAGATAATCCTTCCAGCGTATTCTGGGTCTGCCCCGGGGCCTCCTACCAGTGGGATGTGTTGGGAACACCTCCAACAGGAGGCGCCCAGGAGACACCCTGATCAGATGCCCAAACCACCTCGACTGAACCCTTTCGACACGAAGGAGCAGCAGCTCTACTCCGAGCTCCCTCCAGATGTCCGAGCTCCTTACTTTATCTCTAAGGCTGAGCCCAACCACCCCACTGAGGAAACTTATTTCGGTTGCTTGTATCCTCAACCTCATTCTTTCGGTCACTGCCCAGAGCTCATGACCATAGGTAAGGGATGGGACGTAGATGGACCAGTAAATCGAAAGCTTCTCCTTCAGGCTCAGCTCCCTCTTCACCACGATGGTCCAGAACAGCACTTGTATCACTGCAGACGCCACACCAAACCGCCGATCCATCTCACGCTCCATTCTACCCTCACTCATGAACAAGACCCTGAGATACTTGAACTCCCTTACTTGAGGCAGTAACTCTCTCCCAACCTGGAGAAGACAATCCACCATTTTCCGGCACAGAACCATGGCCTCAGAGTTAGAGGTGCTGATTCTTATCCCAACCGCCTCACACTTGGCTGCAAACTGCCCCAGCGCATGATGGAAGTCACGCTGTGATGAAGCCAACAAAGCCACATCATCTGCCAAAGACAGATATGCAAATCTGAGGTCACCAAACCGCTGATAGGTTTACATGAATCAAGATCAAATATTAATTTTAATGCACTGATTCAGCATCCCACAGTGTGAAGGAAGTCTATGTAAGTTCAAAAGAGTTTGGGAGAAAATACATCTTTTCTGAAGCGTCTTGTTTCCACATTACAACCATTACAACTCAGAGCTCATGAACACAATGACGTCAGAAACACAACCATCCAAGGAGTATGTGAACGCACCATTGGCGAGGGCTAGTTGAGTCCGATTTAATCAGTCCTCGCTTGTTCATTCAGTGCCTTTGCTGCACTATGTTACAACATGTTTGGGACTGAACACACAGACATTCGACTGACTGACTCAGGTACACATCAGATATTAATATGATTAGTTCAAAAAGATCAACTCGTTCATTTTTGCCCATCATTGCTGTGGTCTAATGTCGCCTATGTAGCAACTATTTTAGGCAAATCACAGTAAGGATGTATGTAAGAGTATGAAGTTAGTCATACATTATTTTGAATCAGAAGTTACAAATCAGATATAACTCCAATGGGTAAGCTGCTAGAATAGCTTCTATTCAGGGAAATATTTGTACTGTAAAACTTCAATTAAAAGCCTAGTCCCTTTTACTAGCCTTGTATGACCACATATTTTGACAAATCAATGCCTGTCATAATTAGATGCCTGGTCTGGTTGCCAAGCAATTATTTTTTTAATAGAAGTGAACACAGTTTAGTCTATTATCTTGAACAGATTTTCCACTAAATAAAAATTGCAATACGTTTTGTTGGCATGACAGGAAAATAAAAACGTAACACAAGTTTTGTATTTGAGAAGACAGTCTTTAATAATTTAATAGACAAGTGTTGTCAATTGAGATACATGCAAGGGCGTACATTTTGCTACAACATTGGACTTCTTCCTAACCTTAACCTCGAGATCTCTTTCTGGTAGAAAGCCCATAAGGAGAATTTCTCCCAACTACTATCCAAGTTACAAATACTTTTAACAAAATGTGAGAAAAACACCTGATGACTGTGCTTATTCATGTACAGTATATGTAATTAAATGATGAAATACATTTTAAAATTGAATCAGTATGCATTAATTCATACATTTGTTATGTATGACTTTTAATTAAATTAAATTAAATTAAATTAAATTAAATCAAATTTTATTTTATCTTTTCTCATCTTATATGATCTTATTTTATTTCACTTTATTTTATTTTATTTTATTTTGATCTATTTTATTTTATTTTACTTAACTTTACTTTATTTTTATTTTATTTCACATGGCTTTACTTGACTTTATTTTATTTTATTTTACTCTATTTTACTTTACTTTACTTTAATCTATCTTATTTTATTTCGATTTACTTTATTTTGATTTATTTTATTTTATTTCATTCTACTTGACTTGACTTTATTTTATTGTATCTTATCTTATGTTATCTTATTTTATTTCATTTCATTTCTTTTCATCTCATCTCATTTTATTTTATTTTACTTTGCTTTATTTTGTTTTATTTTATTTTATTTTATTTTGTTTTATGCAGTGATTTGGTAGGGTACCACTGGCAGCAACGAACTACGTCAGACCGACAGACACACATTATGTCCAATCAGACTTTGGCTATTTGGTTGAGCGACATCCACACTAGCCAATAGAATTCTAATTTCTGATACCAGCTGCTCAATCACAGGCCGCTCTATCCTGGAAGGGGAGGGCCTTGTTCTCCCTCGGCTTTGCCCAGTCCGGATGTTCCCCAGTAGCGAATAACGAGCAGCAGTGTGTGAATGTGGCAACTGAGGTAGACAGGGAGGGGTACATAGACTGACCAGACCAGGTTTTTTTTGTCTTTTTCTTTCTCTTTCTTTTCTTACCGAGCCAAGTGTTTCCTCTTTACATGACGCCACGGTTGTAAAGTAGTTTGTAGACGTGAAAGCCCGACCGCCGCTGCCTTTTCTTGGGACTAACCGATATCGTTGTGAAAACAGCCCAGAAGAAAGAAGGAAAGGGGGAAACAACATGGGGCGATTATAAAAAAAGGAGGTGTTGTGTTATGAACCGACGATGACTCTCTGGGAGGATCCGTGAAGCTTATTTATTTTTATTTATTCTCCCTCTTCCCTTTCCCTCGTGTCCCATTTTTGGTTTATTTTTGATTTTTCTCCTCCCTTGCTACTTTGGGAGGTTGGTTTTTTTTTTCAAGGAAAAGGCAACGGGATACGTTACAAGAGGACCGAAGGATGGACCAAGCCGGCATCCTGAGAAAGTTTATCCAGGGGGTGAAGGCCATGAGCGAGGGGGACGAGGAGAGGGGAGAGGACAACTTCGGCAGCGACTTTATGGTGGGTCACAATCCAAACGAGCACACCTAGCCTCCTTTACCTCACATCTGTCTCCTCTAAACCTCCCTCCCTTCTTCACGTCCACCTTTTCCTCCACACTGAACCTCCATATCCCACCACCCCTCCTCCTCCCCGTCTCCTGGTTCCCTGTATCCCCCAGGAGGTGAGGCAGGGGCGGCCACACTGCCCTCTTCCTTTTCCTCCCATTTCCAGGCTTTACATGGCGGCCTAGCATTGTCTCCCAAACCACAGAAACACCACCGGCTCCTGTGTCTTTAAAATGAAGAGACAACAGCAAAACAAGACACATTCACGTCACTTTTCAGCCTCTGGGCTCATTTTTCACATAGCATATTTGGGATAGCTTAGCTTGGACTGTGTTAAGTGCTGTGTTATTGTGGCTTACTGTCTGATTGTAAGGATACAGTGCAATGATTCATTGTCCTCCCTCATACTCAAGAAGCAATGAATATCCACCAAAAAATTGAGCTTAATCATATGTATCATCTCCTGTAATGCACCTGTAGTATTACAATGCACAGTCTATTGTTAGAAATCACTATAAAATATTCATAGCATGGCTGCGGTTGCTTATTTAGTAGAAGTTTTGGGCAAATATGTCCAGTAGTGGATGACAGATCCACCTAAACACATGTATTTGCTAAATACAATTTTCCCAGTGTGCAGGCTGAGTGCACTCAGTTTATTTCACCCTAGTCTTCATGATGGTTGGATTTAGTGCAGGGATGTTGTATTAGACTGCATTGGTTTTTGGCAGTGTGTGACAAATAAACTGGCAACTGAGTGTATACATTAGAGGAGCAGTGTGTAAGATTTAGGGGGATTTTGTGGCATCTAGTAGTGAGGATTGCAGATTGTGACCAGCTGAAACGTCTCCCAGTTAGGATTCCTTTGGTGTCCATTGTTCAGGAGGTTCTTACCGGGAGCTGACTTATCCGCAGAAATCTCTTCCTCTACAAAACAAATGGAGCAGGCGATTAAACTGGTTAAAACACTGAATGAAGCAGTTTCACCTTAGAAGTGAGGATAGCAGATTGCGACCAGCTGAAACGTCTCCCAGTTAGGATTCCTTCAGTGTTCATTGTGCATGAGGTTTTAACCAGGAGCTGAATTATCTGCAGAGGTCTCCTCCTGTCCAGAACAAACAGACCAGGGATTTAAAACCGATAAAAACACTGAATAAAGCAGTTTCATGTTAAAGATCAGCGTTTCTCTTGAGCGACCAGCCCAGCACCTGTTTAATATGTGCTCACCCTTTTCGTCCAATGACGTAAAATCCAGATTTTCAGGAGGTTTTAACTGGGAGCTGAATTATCTGTGGAGGTCTCTTGCTCTCTAAAATAAACGGACCAGGTGATTGAAAATGGATCCACACTCTGATTTAAGCAGTTTCACGGTAAAAATCAGTGTCTCACTCCTATGCTGTCGAGCTGCCAGCCCAACATCTGTTTAATCTGTGCTCACCTTTTTTGTCTGATGACTCAAGATCCAAATGCTCAGGAGGTTTTAACCGGGAGCTGAATTATCCGCAGAGGTCTCCTCCTGTCCAAAACGAACGTGGCAGGCGATCATAAATCGATTAAAACACTGAATAAAGCTGTTTCACGTTTAAAAAAAAAAATCAGTGTTTGTCCAATGCTGTTGAGCCACCAGCCCAAGATTCAGATGTTCAAGAGGTTTTTCCTGGGAGCAGAATCATCCGCAGAGGTCTCTTCCTCTCTAAAACAAGCAAACCTGATGATTTAATCCAGCAAAAACAAAATGAATAAATTGTTTCACGTTAAAATAAAGGTGTTTTTTGGACACATTTCATCTGGGAGGGGCTGCTAGCTACAGGTGGCCAGTGCAAAAATCCAAATAGCCCCATCTAGAGCCAGTGTTTCGTTTGTCCATTACTGTAGAAACATCAAAGTGCAACATTGCAGCCCCCATGGACGAGGATCTGCTCCCTATGTAGATATAAATGACTCATTCTAAGGTAACTTATAGTATTGTCTTATACTTTCTTACCTGTGGAAAGAGCCTTGTAAGGTGGACAAGAGGCATTCATATTTTGTTTGCCTTATGATGACCGCTGACCCGCATACGTTTACCCACACTGCATCACTGGATGTTGTTGTGTCGCAACTCCAGGCTCAAAATAGGTCTTGTCTCAGGCTTGTGAAATTACTGAAATAGCCACAACCGGAATGCTACTTCTGCAATACCATTTGCATCATTATGTGGTTATTTTAGTTTAATGGCTTTGATGAGGATACATTAGGAAACAAAGTGCTAACCGGAGGACACATGCACATTTCATTTGTGAGTTTAAATGAATGAAACTGTTTGTAAAGCCTCTAAAGGGTTCAGATAAACTAGGCCTCAGTGACAGTGGAACAAGTGGCAGCAGCAGATTGTAGGTTTTGGGTTGTCTTTATGGTTCACATTATGTTTCGGAGAAGTTTAATGTTTGTTTGTTTGCTTGTACTGCAGTTTGATTGTTTGGGAAAGAGGCTAATCAGCGTCAGAATGGTTAACTTTTTCTCTTGGTGACTACAGTTGCAACACACACACACACACACACACCATTCTCCTTACTTCCCTACTTCATGCAAGCTGCTTGCTGGAGCTTGCAACATTCTTTCTTGGCCCATTTCATAACATTTTGTTCTGGCTTTAAAACTGGAGCTTTATCGACTCCCGGGCACTCTTTGGATAAAAGCTACACCATTTGTCAGGTCCCTCTCACTGGAATTAGGTACAGAACAAATTCTGAAATAAGAAAAACTCTGTGTATGTGTCCAAGTGTGTGCTGATGACTTGGCCTGGCCTGTCCTTTGAGCATGTGTTTCATAAACTAGGGAGGTGGAGGACGTTGTGCTAAAACAAGACCACGCGGGGCGTTGGGCTGTATGAGAGGCGTTGAGGAAGTGTTTTATGGATGAGGGGGGGAGCAGTGCATGTGATCAGAAATGAAACTTTTCTGGAATTTCTAAGTTATAGCCATTTAGTTTGAGTAAATACCAGAATACCAGAAAAACCTGGTAGTCAGAGCTCATTTTTATTGGCTGCTGGTTCCTCTTAAAAGTCCAGTGTGAAGCATTTAGAAGCATCTATTGACAGAAATAGTAAATAATATTCATAACCATGTTTTCTTTAGTTTTTAATCACCTGAAAATAACAATTGTTGTGTTTTTGTTACCTTAGAAAGACCCAACAGAGTGGGTTCTCTTCCATGGTGTTTATTTATTTATTTTTTAAGATATTATTTGGGCTTTTTGGCCTTTAATGTATAGGACAGGCTAGTGTGAAAGGGGGAGATAGAGAGGGAGTGACATGCAGCAAAGGGCCACAGGCTGGAGTCGAACCCGGGCCGCTGCAGCAACAGCCTTGTACATGGGGCGCCTGCTCTACCACTAAGCCACCGACGCCCCTCCATGGTGTTTCTGAAGCAGCCCAAAACGTACATATCAAATACTAGCTCTAGATAGGACCATTTGCGTTTTTGGCGTCGGCCACTGTAGTTCTCTTGCACACTTGGCACACAGGAGAGGTTTCAGTTCTGCAACCTCACCACTAGATGCCAGTAAATCCTCCACACTGGACCTTTAATCTTAAATTCTTTGTGTACAGTTGACAGGGTAAATATAGGGTCTTCTTTTAGCACCACCACACCTCTCATTTACAACTTTATACACATCCACGCCTTGTCAAACTGCCTGCTACAACCACAGCTCTCCACTGTTATACAGTAGAGGGAACTCGATCTTGTAGCTTGTTGTTGAGATAGAAAATAGTTTTTAAATCAATTTTCTCAATTAAACATCCCTCCAGACTTGTTGTCACTGAAAATGGCAGCCTTTTAATAATGTTGACATTTCTAAATCAGTCTGTTTAACACAGCTGAAGATTAAGATTAGGCTACACTAATATTATTAGTTTTAAACTCTTTGCAGAATTAGATTCCAGTGGTGGCAGCGTAGAATTGTTTTCAACTCATTTGATCCAGACATTTTCAATAACTCGGCAAAACTTAAACTGTCTCTTCCCATTCTTGTTGTCTCAACATAGTCACCGGCTGTTATTGTAACCAGTGTTGTAAAGAATGTAATTCAAAGAATAAGGCATATTGTATAGTATATTCTTATACTTTCTTACTCATGGATAGAGCCTTGTGAGGTGGAAAAGAGACCTTCATCATCAAAATACCATATATTCTGAAAATGACAGACTTTTAATCAGGGCTGTACCGAATAGTTTGAAGCTTTATTCATAATGTTGACATTTCTAAATCAGTCTGTTTAACACAGTTGAAGATTAGGATTGGACCTCACTAATATTATTAGTATTATACTATTTGCAGAATTAAATTCCAGTGCTGGTAGGATTGTTTCAATCTTGTGTGATCCAGTCATTTCCAATAACTCCAGAGTGACGTAAAGTCCAAAAGTGAAAATTTATTTAAAAAAGAGAAAAATAGTCAGGTCCAAAATGACCAAAATGTGTCTGTCTAACAAAACATTTTCACTGTGGTCAAAAAAACCCCAAAGGGAGGCACGCACCTGCATTAACGGGGCAGTCCAGCAGCAATCCAACATCACCATAAATTACATTTATTCGTCAAAGAAAGGTAATTCAATAATAAAAAAAAAACGATAGGAAAATATTTTTACCAAATACCTCGATATCAATACAGGGCGCACAATTCCTTGTCTCCCCAGTTGCTCATCTTTACAGTGTCTTTCAGGTATTGCATTTCCCTCTTGCTACTAGCTGCTCACTAATTCCTGTTTATCCACCGCCAGTGGGTCGCACGTGCGGCGTCATCAACAGCTCCTCCCATTGCGGAAGGCCGCCTCGGTTTGTTTAAACTAAAAGGGTTCCGCCAATATGACTACCCTACGAGTCGGAAAATTGGGCACCTCGGATCAACTCGCCAATCCGGCTCTGTGTGTCTAAACGCTGTCAGCTTGCCGGCAAAAGGGCCCAACATTCGC